GAAGGAAGGAAGGAAGGAAGGAAGGAAGGAAGGAAGGAAGGAAGGAAGGAAGGAAGCCAACCAATCTGGGTGATTTCATTGAATTATTTACCAGATCAAAAGGGCTAGAAACTTTTTTCTTAAAAAAAAAAAAAAAAAAGGAAATCATTGTTGAAGTTTTGGAATTGTTTTTGCAGAAATCTGCAGGAAAAAAGTCCAAAGCTTTGGGAACAATGGCTTAATTTTACATCAGCATAAAAGAGTTGTTTCAGGACCAGGGCTCAGCACATTTCTTTACAGGCCTGAAGCAAAAAAAAACAACACAAAAACCTGTGCGTTTTTTGTTCAGCTGTTTTCTAGCCTTCACATCAGCTGGTTTGTTTTGTTCTAGTTTGTTTCTCTCTTAAGCATGCATATCTTTTAGGAGAACCAACCTACTGGTAAATGTACTACTTTGTCTTGTGCTATGCTTTCCAGCCTGGCAGTAACACCGTGCTTTGGCACAATCAGTTTGTCCACAAGTCCTTGGTTACTGTAGTAACTTTTTTTTTTCTTTTTTCCCTGTGACTAGGTTTTGTGCTTCATGTTTAGAATTGCCCTTTGCCATTTTGGAAGGCAGGAAGGAATACTTTGAAACAAAGAAAACTATAATAAGCTCACAAGGAGTCTTGTTCTCCTTACGATTTGCATTCCCATTTGTTTCATGGCTGGATGGTGATGAATTTTGTCCTTGACAGCTGAAAGAGGTTCCATATGGTAGCTTGGTCCTTCTCAAGTATTCCATGAATCCACTTGATAAAGATCTATGGCGACATAGAAGCAGGTAGGGATTCATGCAGAAGAGAACGTGCCCAACTGCAAAGGTCATCTGTCTTTAAGAGATTATAGAGATTGCAAAGCTCCATTTTTTGTAGTCTATGGAGAGACTGATTGAACGCACGTGAGTCCCAATCTGGTTCAACATCTTCCTTTGCCCATTCATCAAAGTTCTCCCTCACATCTCTGTACATTGATTGGGGAAGGAGGTCAGGTTTAAGTGGAACTGAGTAGAACATAGTAACCAACTATGTCTTTCTGGCCACTGATAAATGGATAGTAGAAATGTAGACCATCTTCACACATGACAATCTAATGTGGATGTTCAGGGATAGAAGAGTTAGGATGCATGTGCTGAATAGGGGTGAGAATATATATGTTCTCAAATTATTCTAATAAAAGATATGGAATCTTAGATAAGTAAAATTATTAAATGCTCCTGGAAGGCTAAGAAATACATTTTCTTTTTCATTTCATGTTTCAGGGAATCTTTAACCTTCACTTAATTATAGGATTTTTCTTCAAAGGCAAGAAGAACTAGCCCCATGCATTTTAAAGGTTGCAACTTTTCATACTTCTGATAACATAAAAATCCATTAAAGGCTGTCATTGTCAGCATGACCCATGAAAATCTAAAATCCATAATGTAATCTCTTTGTTAGGGACAATCAAAATGGAACAAGAAAAATGTCCAAGCTTTGAAAATTTGTACCTGCTTTTCTGTTGCTTTGATTGCTCCTATGGATTCTGGATTTAAAAAAATATTATAGCTTCCGTATGTAATTATTTTTTTATATATATTGAGTTTGCCACCGCCCATCTCGTTGAACGATTTACAAAATGGTTTACAAAACAATTAAAATCAATTGAAATTACAAAATTACAATAAGAAATAGAAAATAAATAGATCCAAAAATAACTGGCAATC